ATAGGGGTGAGGTAGGGGGTGGGGTATGGGAGAGGGGTGAGGTGGGGTAACGGGGAGTGTATAGGGGTGAGATATGGGTGAGGTATGAGAGAGGGGTGAGGTAGGGTAACGGGGAGTGTATAGGGGTGAGGTAGGGGTGAGGTATGAGAGAGGGGTGAGGTAGGATAGCGTGGAGGGTGAGGTAGGGTGGTGTAGAGAGTTGATGTGTAGCAAGGGGAGTGGGGGAGGTAGGGGTGGGGAAGGGTATAGGGGTGAGGTAGGGGGTGGGGTATGGGAGAGGGGTGAGGTAGGGGAGCAGGGAGGGTGAGGTAGGAGTAGGGGTAGGGGAGGGTACAGAGGTGAGATAAGGGGTGGAGTATGGATTGAGGTAAGGGTGGGGTAGGGGATGGGGAGCAGGGGTTATGTGAAGGTGGGGTAGAGGGTGGGAAGTGGGGGTTAGGGGTTGTGATGTTAGTGAGGTAAGGGGGGGGGGTGATAAGAAGACAATAAATTTTGATTTACTTGACATTGTCCAAGACGGACATGCGTTACAAGTGAGATAAGTGGTTGCCCCAGACATGTGGGTGTCTGACAGTGTCATTAGAATCATTTAAAAATACTCTAGTTGAAAGTAGGAATTGTTTGTTCCTATTGTCAATAAAGAATGATTAGCTGTGCTTATAAAAATGTTTATAATTGAGAACTTTTGTTTGTGTGTGTGTGTGTGGAATACGTATGGTTTTATTAGGCATTAATAAGAGTTTTCCGGCACTTGCAACACAATTAGGTCATACGTATCGAACTTAAAAGTGGTTACAAGAGAGTAACAAACACAAGTAAAAGAAGTGGGAGAGATACTGCCGATAAAAATATACATTCGATAGATAGGAAAGAAGGAACAAACCACACCAGAGCACCCGTCCACCACCCGTTTATTTGCATATATACCTGAGTTTTAGTTTTAGTAAAAGTTTTACAGCACTTGTAACATAATTAGGTCCTATAGTAACGTACCAAACAAAAAACGTGTTACAAGAGAGAAACCAACATAAATAGAAGAAGAAGGAGGAGAGGTAAGGACGATGATGTATGTTTGATAAGAAAGATTGAGCAAACCACACGAGAGCACTCGCCAACACCCACTACTTTGAGCACATACCTGAGTTTTAGTTTTAGTAAAAGTTTTACAGCACTTGTAACATAATTCGGTCATATAAGTACCGAACGTAAAACGTGTTACAAGAGAGTAACAAACACAAATAGGAGAAGGGGGAGAGAGAAGGACGATAATGCATGCTTGATAGGAAAGGTTGAGCAAACTACACAAGAGCACCCGCCAACCACCCACTTATTTGAACACGTACCCGAGTTTTAGTTTTAGTAAAAGTTTTACCGCACTTGCAACACAATTAGGTCATAATAATATAAGTACCAAAATATAAAACGTGTTACAAGAGAGTAACAAACACAAATAGAAGAAGAGGAAGAGATAAGGACGATAGATGTTTGATAGGAAAGAAGAAGCAAACCACACCAGAGCACCCACCAACCACCCAGTTCTTTGAGCACATACCTGAGAGAGGCGCTAAAAAGACAGGCCACAAAGAGGCCGGCCAGACCAGGGGCCACAGTTAGCTTGTCCATGACCAGGAGGGGGAGTAACTGGGGGAGGAAGGTGTGGGATGAGATGAGATGATATGAGATGAGGTGAGATGAGGTGAGTTGGGATGAGATGAGATGAGATGAGATGAGATGAGATGAGATGAGATGAGATGAGATGAGATGAGATGAGATGAGATGATGTGAGATGAGATGAGATGAGATGAGATGAGATGAGATGAGATGAGATGAGATGAGATGAGATGAGGTGAGATGAGATGAGGTGAGATGAGGTGAGATGAGATGAGATGAGATGAGATGAGATGAGATGAGATAATTGACATTTGAAAAGGCAACAACAACTACAGCAACCACAACAGCAACAGAAAGTACAAGAACAACAGCAATAAACAATAACAACAACAGCAGCAGCAACAACATCACTAACAGCAAGAACAACAACAATAGCCCCAACAACATCAACAACACCACAACCATCAACTACAACAACAATAACAACAACAATTACAAAAACAACAAAAGTGATAACAGCACCAACAACACCACTAACAACAACAGCACCGCCACCAACAACTACAACCACAACAACTACAACAACTACAACAACAGCAATATAAATATATATATACCCTGTTACAGCACCCACCTGGTCCCTGGCTCTGACAATGTCCAGCAGGTAGGGGTCACACTTGGAGTATGCGGCGAAGATGACCAGTCCGACCAGACAGACCAGAGTGGACAGGATAACGGTCAGAGGGAGAGACACATACAGGGCTCTGGGGAGGGGGGGGGGGGGGGGGAGACGGGAGGTTTTTCAGGTGAGCTGGGTCCTTGGGCTACAACAATAAATATTCCACTCACTAACAGGGCTCTGGGGAGGGGGGGGACGCGAGGTTTTTTTTAGATGAGCTGGCTCACAGGGCTACTCAACAAATATTCTACTCACTAACAGAGCTCTTGAGAGGAAACAGGAGGTGTTTTAGACGAGCTGGCTTCAAGGGCTGCAGCAAACATTTTACTCACTAACAGGGCTCGGGGGGGGGGGGGGACGGAAGGTCTTTTGGATTAGCCTACTTCAAGGGCTACAAACAACACATTCTACTCACTAACAGGGCTCTTGAGAGGAAACGGCAGGTCTTTTTGAATTTTAGATTAGCTTGCTCCCAGGGCTACAACATACATTTATGTAGTTAAATACTTAATGACGAAATGTTTTCTTTATGTATACAGATCTTTTCCCATGTGGTTTCCTATATTTGAAACTTTCAAAAATAGCATGCAAAAAGCGAACTATGAACTACGCAAATTTGCGTTTCTCATTTGTGTATGATTGTTTTAAATGTGTAGTAACCTTGTCTTTGGTCTGTTGTTGATGGAACCTTTGTGTCCTTTAAGTCATCAAAGAGTTAGATGCTAGGTGGGCAACTTCGTGGGCTACTTTCATTTGTTGTGTATACCTAGTTGTAACGACTGACATGACATTTTTTTGCAACTTTTGACTGCATCTGTAAGCAAATCTGTACTTAGAAGACTCATACTAAGCCTAGATATGATTTGAGATACTGGAAACATCTTTACTTTTTTTTTGTGACCCACTATACTTTAGGAAGTTGTTATGTTGGTTGCCACACATTGTTTAATTAAACTACACATTAATGGATTAATGTGTAGTTTAATTAAACAATGTTTGGCTGCATTTTGTTATTTACCAGCTGCTTTGTACTTATTAGACTATAAAACAGCCTAGTCCTGATTTGCAATACTGGAAACGTTTTTACACTTAGCTATTGATACTTTTGCAGTATGTGTTTTTTTTAATTGTGACATTCTGGGTGTTTGATTTAATTCTTTAATTTGCAGTGTAGACATAATTGTAACTACATACATATCGGTTTTTATACTTCATATTTGCTAGCACTTTTCTACATTTTAGACTATAGCAAAGATTAGATCTAGCTGTAATTTGAGGTAGGCTACTGGAAACATCTTTTCATTTGTGTCATCCAAATTTCTTTAGTGAGTGGTCATGTTGGTGGTAACACTTTCTGTGTTGGATTTCGTCCATTAATTTATAAGGTATACTTAGTTGTACGAGTAGCAATCGGAAAAAACACTTTTATTTTACAACATTAGGCTGGATATTTGCAAGCACCTTTGTATTCGTTAGGACTACATGAAAGAAAAGTATTTATTTGAGATAATGGAAATATCTTTATATTTTATCATCCAAAATTCTTTGTTGATTTGTTTTGTAGTTTGTTACACTCTTCGTGTTGGATGAACTACTTTATTTCAAGTTTCTTCATGTATAGATAGTAATTTCAGTGCATTTAAGTATACTTATGTGTGTGTATATGTGTGTGTGTATGTGTGTGTGTGTGTGTGTGTGTGTGTGTTTGTGTGCATGTGAGAGTGTGTTGTGTGCGTTTTTGTCCGTTTAGATGTGTTCGTGTATGTCTTCTCTCTCTCTCTCTCTCTCTCTCTCTCTCTCTCTCTCTCTCTCTCTCTCCTCTCTCTTTCTCTCTCTTTTTTCTCTATCTTTTACTCTCTCACTCTTTCTCACTCACTCTGTCTCTCTTTGTACTTTCTCTGTTTCTCTCTC